ACCCTCCACCTGAGCTCCCTCTTGTCCCCTGGCTCTGTCTTTCTCCCTTACTTTCTGATATCTTCTCAGGTCATTATGGTAACGATCCAATTGCGGGCTCACTTGGCCTTCCTCATGCTCCCCCTGTTTGTGTTTGGGGTACCCACGGATGAGCCAGACCCCAAAGAAGTGACCACCACCCCAAGCAGTTGCAGACGCTGCTGCGACCCGCTGAATTCTCATGAGTCCCCAGAAGCGGCTCCTGACCTGGCCAGCCGCCACTCTTTGCCCTACCCGATGCCTGAGGTCCGCCCTTACATCAACATCACCATCCTGAAAGGTAAGTGCCATGCTTGTATGCTTATAATGCGGGGTCCCTGTGCTGAAGATAAAGGCTGTGTGCTTGCATTCCGGCTGCCCCCCAAAGTGGCTTTCATGTTATGATGCTGAAGACAAGTGAAAAGTGGCATCAGTTAGATATTAAACTGCAAGCCATTCATCAACATGTCAGTGCCCAGTGTCTGGATGGATGGACTTCCCATTGCACGCCACTGTCATGCTGACTTGGCAGGCTTACATTTGTATACCTAGAAAGGTAGAACTATCCCGGAGATCGCTAATGATCCCCTGAACCTACCAGCCTTTCTGCTTTTACCTCTGAACTGAGGGGAGCCATCTCCTCACTTGATTTCCACTGGCTCTTGTTTATTAACAGTCCTGGGGTGGCAGTGGCAGTGCCTCTGACCAGGACAAGAGATCTCCTTCTAGATTCATCTGCTTCAGGATCACGCTGCTATGTAGTGCAGAGGGAGGTAGTGGTGAGGGAGAGAGCATATGCTAAGAGTGAAGGCACAAGTCCCATACTAACATTTTGCACAGGAAAAATTGCAGGGAGACATTCTCCCAGCTCTCACATCAATCTGGAGAGGGAGAAAAAGAACAAGGGAAGCCCTAACATTCCTTTTTCTTCTGAGCAGCTAGGAGGATATTTGCACAGACACCCCCACACTAAGATGGGCAAAGAGCGACTCCCATCCAAGACCTGTCCCATGCAGCTCCTGCTGGTTGAGCGTAGGGTGGAATGGGGTGCCTCTCTGTTTCAGAGCAGCTGCTCCATCAAGGGTCCTCATTTGAGCCTGCACTGTGCCGATGTCTAAAATGTGCATGTGTGGTGAGTCTTGTCAGTGATGGGGGATCCTGTTGTTCAGGGCCATTTACTGTTGCCCTACAGCCCCCTTGGGTTAGCTGGGCCTAAGCTACCCATCCTTTCCAGGAAATATTTCCAGTGTTGGTGAGCACTGAACCGTATTCATGACAGGGAGCATGTCCATGACTGCCTCCCCAGCACAGGGGGCATTCTGGGGTAGAAGAGGGAGTGGGGGTTGGGAGAACCTGGTCTCAAATGGTTTCTCCTCCCTGCAAGGACACATTGAAGCAGGGGTATAAGGCATAACGCCTCTGTTGGAGGCAACACCATCTTTCCCAGACCTTTACTGTGGAAGGCACAGACTACATCCACTCTGCCCCCTGTGCTGGTGCCAATAAGAAGATGAATGTGCAACTCTAGTGTCTGGCCACAGCCACTGTCTCCTTATGGCACCTTCTCACAAGAACCTGGTTTGGGCACCTTCTCCATCTCCCTAAAATATCACATGGGGCATGTCCTCTGCTTATTTTGCAGGTGAAAAAGGAGACCGGGGAGAGTCTGGGATACCAGGAAAATGGGGAAAAGAAGGGCCACGAGGTGAGCGGGGTCCCCAGGGTCAGAAAGGCAGCAAGGGCCAAATGGGTGCTCCAGGTGATCCCTGCAAGCATCAGTACGCTGCTTTCTCAGTGGGCCGCAAGAAGGCACTCCACAGCAGTGAGGGCTACCAGGCCTTAATCTTTGACACTGTCTTCGTCAATCTGTATGGCCACTTCAACATGTTCAACGGCAAGTTCTACTGCTACGTGGCTGGCCTCTACTTCTTCAGCCTTAATGTCCACACCTGGAACTTCAAGGAGACCTACATGCACATCATGCGCAATGAGAGCGAAGAAGTCATCCTCTATGCCCAGCCCAGTGACCGCAGCATCATGCAGAGCCAGAGCCTCATGCTAGAGCTACAGGAGAAAGATGAGGTTTGGGTGCGCCTCTACAAGCGTGAGCGTGAGAATGCCATCTACAGTGATGACATTGATGTCTACATAACCTTCAATGGCTACCTGGTCAAGCCCAGTATTGATTAACCAGCTTCTTCTCTTGCTGTTCTCCTCTCCTTCCTCTCTATTTCACAGTCTTTCTCTTTCTCTCTCTCTCTCCACTGCCCACAATCACTGCAAACCACAAGGAATGAAACAGGAGGATCATGATGGAGGAAGCTCCAGGATACTTCAGAAAATGGGAGGGTACAGGAACCCATCTTTCCCAAAGGGGACTGTCAGCATTCAAGGTCATTGACTGCCTTGAGAGAGACATTCCTACTGCATTGGGGGTGCCAAGTTTATGACTGCTTCAGCCCTCTCATGGCTTAGGTCAGCTGACAGGGTCCTAGACATCAATGTCAAGCCAGGGAGCAGTCAGGCAGTTAGTTTATCACCGTCTATGATGAGCTGTCTGTGATAGGTTGTGTCAGTGGCTGCTTCTCCAGACAGTAACCAGTCAGATTTACAGGTGGTGCAAATTGGTGCATCTCCACTGAAGAAAGCAGCAGAGTCATACTGCTCTACACCTGCTGAGGATTAAGTTCTGCATATCAGAGAGAGACAGACAGCCTCTCTTGGACCCAGTAAGCCTCCCTCTGCAGAGCATCCTGGGATCCTCTGCAGTCTCCATTCCTGTGTTGGGCTCAAAGCCAGCTCAGCCCAGAGCAGAGTGTTCCCTTTCCAAAAACTGAAGGTGGAATT